TGCATGAGCAGCTAACTAATCAGTTTTGTAACAAATGTGTTTCATGCATTGATGATCCAGGGTGTGTGATTCAAGGTAAGGACATGATCTTGCTTGTTTTTAATTCAAAGCGATCACAGTGATCGCTTGTTTTGGTGGAACACGGTCTGAATAAAGAGCTTCACAGAACACGCCAAAAAATGATACCGAGTATTATCAAATATGGTAGTTGTCAAACACTGCAAAATCTGATATTCTTAATTGTAGTTACACATGAACTGTATGAAGGTTTTTTTAGATATCGTGCCGAACAGGCGTTTTTACGACACGGGAGTAAGCGTGTTTGAATGGTTGAACAGGGCCAGTATAATAACTCATTCTTTTTTTTGCTACTAGCATGCAAGCATTTTCCTACAATGAGACTTCTGGTCGATGCGTTGGTAACATTATCAACTTCCTATGACCTAGACCAAAATGAATCTAGTCATCTGGCAAAACAAAAGAATCAATCATGCAGTTGTTAAAGTTAAAGCAATCCTAACTTACACTATTATTTGGATAATTTGATATAAATTCAGAAAATCCAAATAAATTAAAAATTTGCCACAAACATGAGTCGCTACCATAAAGTAGTACTTTGGAGGCATTCAAAGAGGTTAAATAATTAAGTATTCTAATTGTTTAATTACTTGATTATTCTAATTGTTTAAATAATTAAGTATTCTAATTGTTTAATATGAATATTGTATTCATTCAACACACAGCTTGCTAAAAGCTCCACACTGATGACCATAATAAATTAATACTTACATGGCAAAATATCTCTGTATCTATTCTTCCGTGTATTACATTCTAATTCCCCAATTTTACTTGATTTTTCTAGTTTATACCTGGCAGATTTCAATTTTAGTTCCTGCAAACAAAGAGAATGCAAAATAGCAGATAAGTCTATGTGTAAATAAACATGAGATTGTTAATCCTGTAATTCAATATTGATTCACATTCACTAATTCAAGCTCTAGTGTTTTGTAAACATTACTGAGTGGACATAGACTATGACATGAAAACATTGAATAACCTCAACCATGCCTCCAGGAATATGTACATATGTAAACTGTTAATGTAAACTAAGGTATTGCACAGACTCTGGTATGCTTCCCTTATTTTGAACTCACTGTGAAGAATGATTCTTTATCTGTATTCACTGTACATGTATTTGCTATATTAGATGTGCATCTCAAATAGAAGGACACATAAAGCAAAAATTGATAAAACTCTGTCATTTCTGGAAGTTGAATAAAGCTACTAATTGAAAATATAATAAATTAATAAAATTACATTGCAGTTATATTTACATGTACGATTATGGGATATAATCAACTGAACTGCGATAATGTATATAGGTGTAAAAAAGTTAGTATAACTAATATTTAGAAAGTTATTTAATTTAACCAGACATACCATTGCACAATTTGTTTATTATCTTATATTAATTTTGAAGGCAGTATTCCCTCATGTACATTCAAATTTAAAAAGGAGATTTTGTTGACAAATTACTGTTAGCCAAATACATATAGACATGGATTCCAACAATTCCTCATGTATGCTAAATAGCAAGGTGAATATGTACATGACAACCTGGAGACATGACATCATATTTACTCATGACCTTGGTTTACTGACTCATCACATTATCTAGAATAGATGTAATGACACATGGTGAATAGAGAAACCAAGACCTGTCAACTGTATATTTATAGTAAATTCAGCCCTGTCACCTGTATATTTATAGTAAATTCAGCCCTGTCAACTGTATATTTATAGTAAATTCAGCCCTGTCACCTGTATACTTATAGTAAATTCAGCCCTGTCAACTGTATATTTATAGATTAACTGTAAGTACTGGTAAAGCTCATTTCGGCAGAAGAGGAAGTGACCACAAAAGGCAAACTTTTTTATTATTTAGTTATGATTTATTATAAGCATGCATATAACACAGTAAACTTCCTTGACCCAAATATTTCAAGAAAATTTCAGTTGGATTTGCATCAGAATGGGATTATCATGCCTTTCTTTTGAGGTCAATACAATCATTATCAAGAACATATTTAAATGATGTTTATGTAAACAAATGACTTCCCATTACAGTATGTTAAAATGAGTTCCTCTTTATTTTGGCTCTCAAACAATGTATGGTAAATGGAGGTTTTGTATGAGATCACAGACAAAGAATTAAATTACCTTAAAGTCAACAGCATCAATTTCAAATTGCTTTGTTAATAGTATGCCAATTTTCTGCCAAAGTTCAGTCATACTGAAGCAAGCTAAAAATGAGGGGAACACCCAAACTGCTCAATATATAGGTGAATCAATGGTACACATTTTTTAGGGAAAGGGAGGCTTATATGCCTATAGCTGTAACACCAGCAATCACTAAATAAAATTTACAGTTTTAATAATACTTCAAGTGTATCTGACAAAAAAACAATATTTCTTACCACCATTTAATTTCTCACATGTGGCCAGAACCATCAGTACCTAAGCTTACATCCATGCATGATTAAACTATTTAAAACATGATTGGAAGTTTCATTCGCAGAAATTAAACATGAAAACATTGACTTGTACATTTATTACCGTGTAATAAAGCATATACAGTTAAATACGTGACATTTTTGTAACTTAAATATTTGACAAAAATGTAAGACTATTAAATTGTTCAAAGCCACATACATGTATCTAGCTAAATGAAGGTCAAATTCAAGTTGAAGTGTTGATGACCATTGTTTAGCTTCCTTCTCACAGTCAACAAACCAGAAGCATTGGGCACCCAGTGCTGGGGTCTATTGTTCTATTACTGGTATGTGTACATTATTATGAAGCTATACTCATTTTTTTTTTTTTTTTTATTTTAAATCCCCTTGTTTTTCTTGTAGTAATAATGGGTGTATTTTACTTCCATGTGTAGCATTACAAGTAACGAGTCGCCAGTTATACGCCTCAGAAAAAATCTGTTTTTTACGAGATCTTATATAATTCTAAGATAGCCGACTCAGCATCAAAATAATAAAGATAAATTACTAGTAAATTAGAACTAGTATTATCTAACGTTTCTCACTGCCACACATTAAAATATTATTATTAACACGCACAATTGATAACAATGGCTAGGTCATCAAGATTTCCACTTCCATGACGATCTTACCTGAAATTCAAGCGCAAAAGTATCATTCCCGGATTTTAGACCATCTCTCATAAGTTGTACGCGCTCAATAAATGACTGCAAATTATCCTGTGCGGTCATCTTGAGGTTTTCGCGTTTTTCAAAAGCAGAGAATCGTACCAGGAAGTGATTTTACTCGTCAGCCATTACTGAAATGCCCTTTAACTCAGAATACAAAAAGTTAGTTGAACTCCTTAGCTGGTTTAATGTATCACGATTCTTGTCACGTGATTATATCACGTGGTATCTTTTCTTTCTCTTTTCCATCATGGCTGCCACGTATGCTGCGGTGATCTGTGCATTCCTTGTGTTTTTAACGTTCACTGTTCATGGTAAGTGCAGAAACTTCATTATAGCCTTTTCTACAGTTCCATCAACATTTCTGTCACTTCATATTTGGAGATGTAATTCCCATGTTGTTGTTATTGTTACAATAACAAACTTAATTTTACTGGACTGAGCATGATGGACGCTGGTTGCTGCTTTGTTTCAACATTGCAGTGTATACCATTCCGTTTATTTACCTGCCCACAGTCTCTCTATAGGCTAGAAAGCGACTGTGCCTGTACAAACAAATCGTCATAACTTTGTCGCACAGCCTTTTCACATATTATAATCATAACATTGTACACAATTGTGCAATGTTGTCCATACGCGATATTTTTTTTCAGTCACCGTCAATCATCTTCCACTTCCAGCTAGTGATCACACCTCACAAAATGTTGCGAATGTTTACTCTTGTTATTAGAGGCTAGTTATTGTGGCAAACAATTACTAGCTAGTTACTGTGTCTAACGGATTGTTTACAAAAAATGAAAGTACAGGATGGCAACTATAGAGGGCGACATTCACGTAGAGTATAGCCACCTGCTACACGTAAGCTCGGCTGGCGCAGTCGGGGCGATTAATTTGTGTTTGTAGTTTAAATAAAATAAAAGAAAAATCGCGAAATCACCCCGACTAGTTTATTCTGCAGGAAATTCATTGCTATTAAATATTCATGATGCACATATTATAATGAGGTGGGCGCGGAAATACGT